AATTTCTTATATAACTAAATAAAAAAAAAGAGACATATTCAAAATGAAATCGATAGTCCATTATTAATGGAAAAATTTGAAATCATTACAAATTATCCAATCTATTGGGCATTTTTTATAATATTTGATTAACATCTCATTGGGAATTCAAATCAAAATACTATCTTTTCATGTAAGGCACATTGACAATTCGTGAGTCCATATTCACCAATCTCACTACTAATCAATTGTTGTGTATGAATTTTTCATGGCTGAAAAATTGCCTCTCTCCACCAATATGCCAGTAGCAACTGGTAAGGTTAATGCTTAAAGTATAGAGAGTTTGTAAACCAAAGGAACACATCTATTCTTGCTTGAAGCGTAACAATCTGCTTTGCTAAGATCAGCAATGCTCTCTTATGAGAGGAAGACTCTTCACTTGGTCCGCCCATATCAATAATGTACGTTGCTAAATTGATTTTTAAGGAGCAATAACCTCAATTATAGAAAATCTACTTTGGATGTATGCTTCTGCTAAGTACATATCAATGTCCTCTCATCATATTAGCACTGAAAAGAATCAATTTTGGCTTTAAAGCCATTGACATATCATATGAAGTAACTTCAGCACTTGATTCATAAAGCTGATTATTTAGCTCTTGAAGTTGCATGTCAAGTCTCTGTATATAAATTAAAAAATCAACTACGATAATGATGTTAGATTTGTTTTATCTTCCACCTCCCTCTTACTGGGATCGAGCGACAGTGTTTATATGTTTCATTCAGTGTGGAACAACAACTTCAAAACACTACAAAAAACAGTGACACTTCAGTTCTAGTAAATGCACTTCCATCCTTCTTCCCTTAAGAAGTTGCAAGTCGGTGTTTAGAAATTGAGACTTCTGTCTGTATGATTGTGTCCCTTCAATAGTATATGCATCTCTGGATCTTATCTCTGATCATTTACATCATTAACTCTCAAATTAGAATCGGAGTCCTGGATCTGCTGGAAGATGTTAATAAATCAAATTTCTATTTCGGTCTTTGTCCTCTTTAATAAAAAGCTTCCATTGTTCTCTAAAAACCCTAAAATAAATATTTATTACCAAAGAAAAGAGTAGACCGTCCAATGCAAAATATATATAAAATACAGAAAGTTCTGAATATAGTCTATAAATATTTTTATGTTTGTTAAATACTGTTAAGTGAAGGATGACGCCTTACAATGGCAATGAAACGTGAAATTGGGAACCGATCTTTGGAGTCTTAGAAATCCAGGCGATTTGAGTAAATTAAAATTCATTTAGCAAAGGATATTTCCTTTATGTTTCCATTTGGTAAAAAGATTAAGCATGTGAATAGAGGCTTCCAACTTAGCGAATTCTTCTTCTTTCAATAAAGTGCTGGAAAGTATAAGATATCATCTTACCGTAAAAAAATTGAAATATAATTTTAGTCTTGAATTTGTAAGCAATTGTAATTCTTAACTTTCAATAGAAAGAAGAATCACGCATAAAAATATCTATATATTGCAAAAATGAAAGAAGAATCCAATCTGCATAAAAAAGGGATTAATATAGTTCTTTTGTCCTCTTTTTCATAAACAATACAAAAAGTTCACTGCATGGTTATCGAACTACAATAGCTTATCATTTTGTCCCACGTATATATGATTTTGCAAAAAGTGAAGCTCCACAGGAACCCTGGCAATATAGTAGAATATATATTAAAACTATTCAGTGTCACACCAAACAGCTGCGTATTATCTAGTAAGATAAAAGTTAGCGTTATCTCATTCGCAGAAAAGAAAACCTATAATTGTTAATCATTCAATGTGCTTTTTCCCTTTTCTTTTCCTTCTTAATTGTTCAATGTTAGTATGGAAAATAGATATAGCAAAAGAAATTGAAGTAGCCACCACTGATATCCATTGAAAATATGAGAATAATACCACAAAGCAACATCATTCCGTATGAAAATCCATCAAAATAAATAACCAAATTAGAAAGCAATCAAGCAATGTGTTCAAAATCAAAATGACCTAATCTCACCGGAAGGCCCTTGCGATTCACAAAAGCAGCGAAGGACCCTGCCGACAAGTCTAAGCGGACCGCAAGCAGTGGACGAAACTTGGCCGAAATCCCAATCTCCAGATGACCAGTTCCTCTCTTGCGCGAACGGAGAATCACACGAACATCCAAGCTTCCCAGGCTTCCCACGTTGAACACGAAGACTTCCGTCGTGCCTATGTTCGTATTTACTAGGGATCGCGGCGTTAGGGCAAAAAGGGCGCGAACAAAATAAAAAATTTATCGGGTTCAAATTACTTAATGCCCTTTCTAATAAATTTTTTTTTTTAAGGGGGTGCCAATTTGCCCCCCTAACCCATGAACAGTTCCCCCCTGTTATAGTTTATAGTGTATAATTAAATGAATTTAAAAAGTTAATACTAATAGATAAAAATTTAAATATAATAACTAATAATGGAGATTAAAATAAATTATTCAAAAGAATATGGAATGTCGAGTTATGGTATGGATGGATTGGAGTTAACTTGGGAGAAAATTTTAGCAGCATATCTTTTAGTTTTTCTGAGTCTGCACTATTTAATTGGAGAACTTTTTTTGCCCCCCCTAAGATGAAAGGCTGGTTCCGCCCCAGACACTATAAAAATTAATTTTTATCTATTTATTAATTATAAGTGATATAACATGAACAATTTATAGATATAAATTTATAATGTAAATTCATAATATAATCTATTGGTGTAAATTATATTTAAATATATAAAACAAATTAGCAATAATTTATATTAAAATGATAACTTTATATAAAACTAAATTTATATTAAATATGAAATTAAAATTGAAGATTGAAGATGTTTAAATTTAAAATTATCATTTTTATATGAATTTTGTTTATTTTTATGTCACAAATTTACGTTGTTGCATATTTATTACATTATTATTTCATTTTGATCTTATTTAAATAATTTTAATATTTATTACATCATCTAGCTCAACTCTCGGTCCAACCCCAGTCTAGCCATTGAACCTTTAACATCTACTTCTTTCGATTCTATGTCCGGGTCAATTTTCACAAGCTTGATCTTATGTGCTTGAATGTGGACTGTTTGTTCTACATAAAAAGGGTCAATTAAGTGATAAGGATTCTAACGACTCCAAGGTTATGAGGGCTAGATGTACAGAACTGCCATTTCTTGATCAAACAGGCTGCCTTTTGAAGCCATGAAATCTAGCTTGTACTTAGGGAAACTTAACCATCACCCATGCCTACTATCACAATGCGGTTGATAGATTTAACGCAACCATGCCATGATTTTGATGGTTGATGGTGATTATATGCCTAATATAAGTTGTATTGAATTGTTGTGGCCTCACATGTTTTCCTGTTTTTATTGTTGTTTATTTTTTCATTGTCAGGTTGTGTGAAGGCGGGGAATTGTTAGATAGAATCTTATCCAGGTAATCTGGGTTACTCTTAGTTTCAAACCTTTTTACTATGTCTATTGTTGATTTTTGTTTCTTGGTTTTGGAAGAGGTGGAAGGTATATGGAGGAAGATGCAAAGGGAATTGTTTCGCAGATTTTGAGTGTAGTTGCCTTTTGTCATCTACAAGGTGTTGTGCATCGTGATCTAAAACCGGAGGTGTGTTTTGCTAATTCTTATACATACTTTTCAAGGTTTGGATGATTTTCTTACGATGTGCTATGGTTTATTCACTCTAATAGAATCAAGGATGACGACTACTCTCTTCACTTCTGTATCTTCTTTGTTTTCTTTATGGTTAATTGATAGCTGGGATTGGATATTATTATTGTTCTATGGTTTAACAAGTTTTTTTTTAGATTGTTACGTTTTTGCATAAACGTCAGGCTTGTTCTTATGATAATCTATTTGTTTGTTTAAAATGTATGCAGAACTTTCTCTTCACTACTAGGGATGAAAATGCACCCATGAAGATTATTGATTTTGGCCTTTCAGATTTTATCCGACCAGGTACTAAGTTCTATACAGAAATGTACTTTTTTAACCGCTATTACTGTTGGTTATGTAGTGCACTTGGATGCGACTATGTATTAGATATATGCTCAACTATGTATTAGATATTTGCTCTTTTACTTTCTTTACTTTAACATGCCACTTTCTTATTTCATTATCTGAAATTGATATTTTGATTCTTTTTTGTAGTCATATTAATCTTTTGGTCAATTTAAAGACTGGAAATTCAATTTAATTTCATAATCTTTCTTTTTCATTCTGACACCATGGTATATGCTGTAGAAGTTTAATCTAAATTTTCATACCGATATCTTTCACCAGTTAGGTTAAGTCCAAACACAAGAAGAAATGAAACCTTGTAGGGGATCTTATTATTACTCCTTTGTCTGACTTGCCATTTATTTGTATGTTGAAGCACAGTCCAAAAAGGGAAATGATCTGGCTGAAAAAGGGAAGGGAGTTTGTGGTTGCGGGGTTGAATTGTGTGGAGGCAAAGATGGCAAACTGTTGCCCAAAGTTATAAAACCAATTTCACAGGTTGGGGCAGAGGGTACACCATTTCACTTAGTCTTAAAAGATAGTGCAATAATAAATCAAAACTATAATACAAAATATCGAGGGATGGCTCAGAAATAATCATAGGTTGTCTCTATTATGACTTGTGTGCCTTAGTTTGAACCATCCAATTAGCCCTTCTTTAGTGCAAGAAAAAGGTTATATTGCCAATCATTCTCGGTACCATGCACTAGCCCCATTCTTTGACTTATAAATTGGAAGTTTTCATCATAATTTTGAAAAAAATAATTGCTCAATTAGTAACTCATTATTATAAGCAATCTTACATATGCTATCACGTTATGCTTACATATGCTCAAACAGTGCATTTCTCTTCAAGGGAGTAACAATAGGAAATTTGGTGTATCCGAGAGTTTGTAAACCCTTATAATAAGCTCATTTAATCATTGATCATCACACATTCCCAACTTTTGATGGATGGCATTTGTATCCACCAAACTAGAAGTGCATATTTTCAAAAGTTCAACGCCTTTTGGTGAACTAATCCACCACATTATGTATCTTATTAATCTTAAAGGGAATCATGTGGATTCTAAATTTTTTGGGCACTGCAATTAGACTTTTCAAAATGTAGATTGAATATTATATACGATGCAACCTAAAGATTTTGCCCTTTTATGAGAACTTTATTATTTAGTTTGAGGTTTCCTATAGTTGCAATCTCTTATGATTTATGACTCCTCTTGATTGGAGGGCTTTTGATTTAGGTTAGTCTATAGGCTTTATGATGCCTTGTTTTAACAACAACAATTTAGACTGGGGAAGAAAAGTGGTGGTAATAGTCAGAGTGGATGGTCTTTGGTTAGAAGCTTGTCTGTAGGTTCAATTTTAAGCTACTCTCACCTAATAGAGGGCTTCGTACTCTATGTAATGTGTCTTATGACTCACAACTCATAGATTTAGTCATTGGGAACATTAACTTTTGGTTGTAGCCATAATATAGTAGACACTCGGCAAGGGGGCATGTGTTATATCTTTCTTGATATGTGAATTTTGTGGATAGTCATGTGCATACACTTGATTTGGTGTTGGCTCTTTGTAACCTTTGATTAAACTTCTCATTCTTAGCAAATTGGTTTATAGGGTGGATGATCAATTGTTGTGAGCATGAAGTGACCAGATATTGCTTGAGCTTTTTGGCTTTATCTTTTTGGTTTTTTTTTTTTTTTTTTGAGGTATAAATTTAGGCAGAGTTTCCTCTTATTATGTTTTGCAATTTATGCTCATTGTTGGGAATAAAGTTCAAGATGTGTTCTCCTTGGAATTTAAGGGATTTATTTTTCCATCTCTATGAGAATTATCATCTCCTGCCCCAACTCTAAAGCTCAATATAAATTGAAGGCAGGAATGGATGATTGTGCTAATAGGATATCCAAGCCATGCCCGATCTACACCATATAAGAATAATTAATAGCCTAATGATTGTTCTTGTTACACATGAACAATCTACCTCCAATCTAATTATTCTAATCTTATAATTTATACATAATGATAATTAATTTTCAATTTTTACTTTTTTGGCAGTCTGAGCTTCTGAATGGACTCCACTAAGGTGGCAACTGCAACCATCTAAATTAAATACTGGATCATATAGATGTTAGTGGAGTTGTAATTCAATAATTGGATGAATCATAATTTTAAAAATAACAAAATACACATTGTGAACATTATAGTATATATATAATATAAGGATTTTCATATATAATTTGGCAATAAGATTAATAAGGAATCAAGCTATAGCATGCTTGGGTGTTTCATTTCTAATATATAAACATATTAATTGGCATATCATAATCTAGAAAGTTGTAGCATTAGGAATTCAATCATAAGCACTTGGCATATCATCTAGCATAACATTTGATATTATAATCATAGCAATTAGCATAAAATGTGAAATCATATTCATAGCAATAACTTTAGAATCATATTCATAGCCACAACATGGTCATAGCATTGAGAAACATTGATACCATAAGCATGGACTTTAGAATTATTATAATAGTTTTCATAACATTGACATCATAATCGTAGGCTATGGGATAATTATAACATTATTGTTATATGCATAGCCTATAGCATAATCATGTCATTTGAAAATTGTCATCATTAAACTATCCTTGTTTTGTGACATAGCTTTTACATCTCAACATAAATTATCATACATTCCTTCTCCCCAGCTCTAGTAATAGTGAGTTGTCATAAATTAATTTGTTTTTAGCTAATACTTCTCCTATCAATGCAATTGGGGCATAACTCATATGTCTATTATTATTGGTGATTATAAAATGCTTAATATCACCGGTTGATATATCCTCTGTGGATACAAGTGGGGTTTAATTGATATGTCTACAATTATTAGTACATGAAAGCCAAGAGTCTTTAATGAATAGGTACATTAGCATCCCCAATTAATACTATTAGGAGGCTTTGTCTATTAATATGCACATGTAACCATTTATATATATATATACTTTTATTTGTATACATCTTTCCGATGCAATTAGTTTATTTGTTGAAACAATTCAGATATAATTGGATTTCATAATTATAATGGTGTTATAACATTTGGAGTCATATATGTAGTAATAGAATGACATTTGGAATCATAGATATAGCAATCGTATGGTACTTGCAAATATACTTGCAAATATGGAATAAGTTCTTAGAATTAGCTGATGTGCATAACCTTAGTAATTGCACGTCGTTTCGTATCATAGACATGAACTGCAAAATAATCATTTCATTTTTGAAATTCTGAGATGATGTATTACATGTATGATTCATAGCAATATGACCAATTTTAATAAAGAATCAAGATCAATCAATAACCTCTACATAATGAACTTTCTATAGAAGCTTTATTTGGAAGTATTTCACAATATGCTAAAAAATATTGGTAATATTCTTAAACTTCTCAGTTCACTCAAGCACTTTTGCATGCAACAAGATGAAAATTTTGAGCCAGAGAGCGAGCTGCATGCTTTTCAGTATAAGTTGATTCCCATTGAAAAGTGCACACATTATTCACACTGGTTCTAATTTTTTAGCTCGTGCAGGCGATGATATTTTCATTAAAATATGCACACGTTTTACATTTAGATTCTTGTATACTCTTTTTGAGGCATGCCTCGAAGGTTCATTATCTGTGTGACTATGTCAACTGGCAAGTTTGTTCGTATGCATGCACATTGGGACACAAAATTTTGGTGATTGCTTAAAATAAAATTATCCTCTTTTATATTTATTCTTGCCCATATTTAGGAAAGTTTCATAGGGGGCATATACACCTATCAATAGGGGAGCCACGCACGGCGATTTCTTTTTACGTTGAGTTCATATTATGAAAAGAGGTGTTTTTGCTTGCGCTTGTTGTTGAGCAGGAAAATTTATTTAATTTTGTTATTTTGCTCATTTTGCAGGTATTTTACTTGACTTATTTTGCAATTTTTAATGCACCACTTTCTCTTTCATTACATTATTTTTTATTTAATAGCATTTTCGTCCTTATAACATTTTTGTTTGATTTCTTTTTTTTAATTTTGCTAGAGGGTATTAGAAAGCGTGTTGGGTTTCCCACCCTCCAAGAAAAAACATGTCTAGATAATGCACTGGACATTACAGACAAAAATGTTTCCTACCGCATAAAAAAAGCCATCTTTTGGTGGTTTTTTAAACACCTAGCCGAGCATATTTTATACTCACTGTACCATGAAAGGCATGTATGGATATTTCTTAAGTAATTCCCAATACAAAATATAGCACATAAGAATAAAATAACGGTCGTATCATGTCAAGAAAGACATGGGAACATACAAGGAACCCGGAAGCTGCCTCTTATACCTTGCTGAGTGTTGTGAGATGTTTGTAATGAAGTGGGACCGATGTAGAGAGGTAGCATAAGAGAGGGTTTTGTGCGGGAGTGAAGAGAGGAAGAGCAAGGGTTCTAAAAAAAATGTATTTTATATTATGTTTTTAGGTGTAGCTTGAGCTCTATTTTTATTATGCCTTCCTTAATGGGGCAACAAATATCTTTTGTCCGTTTTTTTTTTTTTGTGTTTGAGAGCCAGTTGGCCCCCACCTATCAAAGGGGCATTGAAATGGAGCATTAATCCTGCAATGCCAAAAGGTAGAGGTTGATAACAATGTCCCCTCATATGTATGTATTTAATGTTCGCTTAAATTTTCATGCAAAAATTTCTTGCTCATTGAGTTTTCTTAGATTACTTGTTTTTTTTTTTTTCATAGAATGTTGCCATCAGTTTTAGCTTAAGTTGGTTGACAGGTCACCATCAT